ATCAAAGATGTCGCCACTATTATCGAAATTGGAATTAAAAAAGTCTGTACTATCGACCTTGATTGAGTTGGGTAATCGGTTTAGCATCCCCTTAAGGAGTAGTTTTTATCCTTCAGAGTGATCTTTGCCGATAAAAAAAAATACGCGTCAAATATTTTTCAAAGTTCTACTTTGCATATTCTAAATATGCAAAGTTTCATTAAAATCGATGAGTGACACTTCCGTAGGTATACTTGTTAGTCGAATTCGAGACTTAATAGGTTCATCGTAAACGAATTCTAAGCTGATCACGAACCTTAATAATCCTCAAATTTTGCTACATTAACTTTATTCGTGAAATGTAATATAACATGGAAACAATGTATATACATATATATCGTACAATGTATATACATATATGTAAATTGAGCTGTCACATACCTAGTATTTTTGACATATTAAATATCTCTCATTTTACAGACTATAGCCATCACAACTTTCGACACTGTTGTAACATTATATTAAGAAGAGAATTTTTTGTTAGAGTAGAAATAAAACTATCAACCCTGTTAATATTACACTAATTTCGTGAAATAAGAACATCACTATAAATCATTTGCATCAATTTGCAAATGTGATAAAACATTGTATTATTAATTTTATCATGATACATTTGCTATAAATAACGTCTATATTAGGACCAACAATATCTTCAGAGATGAAAAATGGTATTTTAGAGTTAATTCATTATTTCTGATTGTCTTTATGTATTATTCAATATCGTTTGTAACTTCCACTAACGACAATGTATATTGTGATATTTGTGAAACTGCCGAATGAAGAGGTCTTGATCTAAATATAATATTATTTCTAACATATTTTCCACGTACTTAGAAATGTATTAAAATTGACAAATCTTGTTATGTTTGAATTTTTTACCGATGATATAACACACGCCATACGATGGATTTATCAATATTTTAACGATTGCAAGTATCATCTTTATTTTAATGCATAACATAGTAAGTCCTCTCGTGAGCCTCTCTGTAATGGGATACACCTAGACAACTACGTAGTCGATTGACTATGTCATCTGAAATTGTTTTCATGCTAAATTGAGCTACAGTTATCACACGTACATACATCAATAATATGTACGTTAATGTACCATGAATAATACCACAGAGTCTATCTGCAACGCACAGGGTTGGGTAGTGCCAAGTTAAAAAGCTAAAAGTTAAGTTAAAAAGTTGAAAAGTTAAATAATTTTAACTTAACTTAGTTACATTTTAGATTCTTAACTTTTTAACTTTATTTAGTTACATTTTATCGATAACTATTAACTTTTTATTTAAATTTTTTGAAGTTAAGTCTCAGACTCAAACATATTCTTCATTTAGAACATACTCTATATTTTACTTAAAAGTTTTGTTTGTATATATTATTTACATTATATATTGATTTCAATCTAGCAAAAACCGTATATTTTAATGTATCTAGTTTTTGATAGGTTGAAATATATATATATAACAATATCTATAAATGTTTGTCATTTCCGTTATTTGTAAGACTCTGAAATCATAAAATAGAAAGAAATTTTTAACTTTTAATTTTTCAATTACTTTTTTTTATTAACTTAACTTTTAATTCAATTAATTTCATTATACATTAACTTGTATCTTAACTAAGTTAAATTTTCAAGGTTGTTAACTTTAACTTAACTTAGTTAAAAGAAAAAATTAACTTACCTCCAACCCTGGCAACGCATTTAGATCCAATACGTGAATACCTACTTTGATTATAGCTGTTTAGGAAATGATAATCGTGTAGCAAAAGAGTAGAAAACACTAACAATAAGAGGATATCAGTTATACCATGTTTGTTAATATATATTTCTGCAAGATGTTTTTCAGCAATGAGAGCTTCTCAAAGATTTTAAAATAATTTATTTTACGATTTCAACTGCAGATATTTCGTTAAAAAATGTTTAGTAATCTTATAAATAAATTAAGAAATTTAAGTAAGTATTCGATCAAAAAATATTCAATTTATGGACAGATTTACTTTTACCTGTATTTGTTAATCGTAATATAAACTCTGTTCGTTTCCAAAGTTGATATTAGAAACAAGTTGGGATAAATAGAAAATGGCTAATCAAGTGGCTAATATAGTTGATGGAACGGTACACAATTACTTCAAGGTAGCCTTAAGGAATATTTAAAAGTACTGATAGAATCTATTTTCTGACTGAATTCGTGTTTATACCTCATTGATAACTTTGGCCATCGAGTCAATGAGGCTTATGCTCTGCCATAATACCTTAATTATTGCTTTAATTTTCCATGTGTTTAGTCACCGAACCCTGCCCGAGGGTGAACGTAAGTGCGATTTTATGTAACCGGTTCGATAATCGATCACGTCGCGCGATGATCCATCTGACATGCCGTGCCTGTGTCTCCTGCTCCACCTGCAAATGAAAATTATGTTATTCATGATAATTCTAACAATTGTTACCTAAAAATCTCAATCAACATGCAAAACATGGTTTTTTTTGCCAATTCGACAAGAAAGACACGTGGAAACTTTCCAACATTAGTATCCTTCATTGTTAATTACAACGCAACAATCACAAAAAAGAATACAAGAGTACAAATACTATTTTGTCTATATTATAATTATTCTCTTTCATATTTAAGTTGTAGTGCACAGTACAAGATAAATTTAATTTAATTTTATTTATTATATTTTGTTTATATACAGAGTAGTCTATTTTAATCAATCCAATAGAATATCTAATAGAGAATATCTCAAAAACTTTAAGTTTAAGATAAAAATGTTTCAGACAAAAGTTGCTTAGTTTTTATCAAGGACAAGGTTATCTTCTTTCTCACTTGTAGTGAATAAAAAGAGGAAAGAGAGAGAGAGAAGCTAGTCGTTATCGCGCGAAGATGACTTAGTCGCTATCAAGAAAACACAAGCAAGTCCTGGATCCAAATTTGCATCAAAATTCCTGGGTCCTCATCGCATATTAAAGATTCTACGTAACGACCACTATTTGGTGAAAGAAAATAAACAATTTTTGGCACTTGATATTTTTCTGTAAAGTTGATAGTACTTGAGTAAAGAATTATTGAAAATATCTTTCGTTAATATCTTGTTAACTTTTGTGAAAATTGTAAAATGGATAGAGGACTTTTCAATTCAGTTTAGTCCGCTCTATCTCTATGCGAGAGTTTTATCATTACTTATCAAACATCCTGTATATAATTCCATTAAAAAAATTTTAGGTAATTTTAGGTAACTCAAGGACAAGGTTATCTTCTTTCTCACTACAAGTGAGAAAGAAGATAACCTTGTCCTTGAGAAGATACTCTTAAGATCAGATTAAAGTTACCTAAAATTTTTTTAATGGAATTATATACAGGATGTTTGATAAGTAATGATAAAACTCTCGCATAGAGATAGAGCGGACTAAACTGAATTGAAAAGTCCTCTATCCATTTTACAATTTTCACAAAAGTTAACAAGATATTAACGAAAGATATTTTCAATAATTCTTTACTCAAGTACTATCAACTTTACAGAAAAATATCAAGTGCCAAAAATTGTTTATTTTCTTTCACCAAATAGTGGTCGTTACGTAGAATCTTTAATATGCGATGAGGACCCAGGAATTTTGATGCAAATTTGGATCCAGGACTTGCTTGTGTTTTCTTGATAGCGACTAAGTCATCTTCGCGCGATAACGACTAGCTTCTCTCTCTCTCTTTCCTCTTTTTATTAAAACTTTTCTAAAGTATTCTCACACTGTATTTTTCGGATATTTGTCTTCGCGTTTTCTCGGAGCTCGCTTCGATTTTCTTGAAAAGCGGCTACTCAGACTCAATAAGCTCTCGGATTTTCTTGTTGTCTTTGAGCCTCATGTTTATAGAACTCTAAGAATTTTTTCAGAATTTTTTAGTATCGCATTTTCTCATGTTGGTAAAAATTGTTGGCAATATAAGAAAATGTAGTACTAAAAATTTGATAAAAAATTCTGAAAAAATTTTTAGGGCTCTATTTTATGATTTTTATTAGTAATTGATATCTTGTTAATTATTGTGAAAATTGCAAAATAGAGAACTTTTCGACTCAGTTTAGTCCGCTCTATCCCTATGCGAGAGATTTTTCGTTACTTATCAATGTATATTGTTTACATACGATTTCACTAATTATTTTGCATATAAATTAAAATATTAATTTATAAGGTAGAAATAAAAAAAACCAATAGTTACAAGATATTTAAAATATTTCATGTCAATATATTTGTCAAAATAAAGTATAAAATATCTCGTAAACTATTGGTTTTTTGATATCTCTACCTTAATATTTTTATATGCAGAATAACTATAAAGAAAAATCATATTATATAAAAAAAAATAATTCCATTAAAAAATTTTAGATAACCTTGATCTAACCTTAAGGACATCTCAAGGTCAACCATAATCACCATCTTCTTTCCCTCTTGTAACTAAGCAACTTTTTTAAAAACATTTTTGTCTTAAATTTAAAGATTTTGAGATATTATAGTGAATTAATAAAAATAGATCACACTGGTGTATATTATAGTATATTTCAAAAATATAAAACTCTAAATTTAATTTATTATCTAATCATTTATTATCTAATCAGATATTTATCATATTATTTTTAATTTGAAAATTTTTCTCAATGTATAAATTTAAACATTTGCATTACATTCCTATCTTTATTAAAAATTTTTATTTCTGCTATATATTTTTATTATTATATTATAGTATTTGTAGAAAATCACCACGTGAAATCAAATTTATATCCAACGTAAAAAGTCACGGATATCCCATTATATTATATAGAAATATTATAACTTTATCACGTCTTATTTAATATATAGCAAAAAATTTTCTGATCGAATATAGTCGAATTTATATAACAAATATATATAACCAAAATATAATTAATTACATGGGATTGCCCGTTTCTTTTTGCAAAATATACATTTAACAAACTGAATGACAACAGTAATTATATCATTGAATATTGAACAGCATGACACATGTCACTATGCATCATTCCAAAAATTTATGTGGGAAACACGGACGATATATGTATACGATAAAAATAAAAATAACTTGTAACATTTACGAATACCTGCAACATTCACGGAACAGGATACTAAACAGATCGATCACTATGAGCTAAGATAAATAGATGCGAAGAAATTCATAATTTTATAAAGGCATTCCTCATTGCACGCATCATACACATATGCTTTCATATCGATATACAGGGCCCCTCACAACTGACTTATGCTTTTTTATTGAACATTTTTTAATTTAAAGTTATATACACATCTGTCTGTGTGAAAATATGAAAACTTCGACACTTAAAACTTTTCGAATTAAAAAGAATAAGATAAATAGAGAATAACTTTCAATGTGCGTTTAAATAGACAAGGCAATCTTATTATTTTCTTTAATTTTAGATTCTGTTTTTATCGCAATTTTAAGTTTTGTTATTTCTTATTATAATATTTAATATTGCAAAAAATAAAGTACTGTATGTAAAAGATACTTTGAATTAACTAGAAAAAAATATGAATAAGTGATACTCTCTCTCTTAGTTAAAAATACCCTGTATATACCCGCAATTAGCGTTCGGCATTTATACTACGTTACATTAATCACTTAGGCGCTAGCTTAAATAGCAATTATAACATTATGCAACTCAATATTCAGCGCTTTCAAGATGATTGCGACTGCCACTCACTAACAAATCCCTGCTCAATTACCCAGCATATTTCGTACCTCGAGCGTTACAACAAAATTCTACACGGTGCTACTCGTCGCCAGCCAACTATCACGATCACGTTCGATTTGATCTTGATCACTTCCTGCACCTGATTCCTACCTGATTTCTCTCTTACCGCGTCACGCGTGGCTTCGCCACCAGCCTGATTGTTCTCATACCTTGATGTTGATTACGAGGATCATGCGAATAGCTGTTGCTGATGACGGTGGTGGTCGAGGTGATGGAAGTCGAGGTAGAAGGAAGGACACGGCGTGATTGGGTTTCAGAGGTCGAGCTGTATTGTTGAGGGTTGTTGTTAACATGTCGAAGAATGGCAGGCTGATTGCTGCTGTTGCTGCTATTGTTGTTGTTGTTGTTGCTGATCGGCAGCAGCGTCTGACCATCTCCATGCGCGGCAGAAACGCCGTAGCTCCTCAGACGGTGCTGACGTTGCTGAAGGGATGTTCTGCGACCTCTAAGGATATTCCTGCTGCCACGTTGCTGGCCCCCCGTGGTACTGCGTATATATATCAAGTCCGAGACTCTCATAAGTCGATTTCCCGATTATCTTCGTACGGGGGTAGACCTGCGATGGCTCCTCTCGACAGTATGTCTCGCAGCGCGGTCTCGTTGGTCTTTTTTTTAACATAATCGGTAGGGACTGTCGCGTATTGCTTGAATATCTCGATACGCGGATTTCCCTCTTACTTAAAGACTATAATCTATATGTTCTCTCTCCATATGCTCACGTTAACTCTTGGGGTAGGTTGGGGTGGAGGACACGGGCATCTGTGTCATAGAAATCTAGCGATTCTCTAGCCTTTCATCACAAGCTATTAATTATATTATAATTGAATGATTGAATACTATAATAACATATATGTATACATAATATGTACATATCACATTTAAGTAGGAGCATGTTAAAGTATGCGATGCGACAAACTTAAAGTGAGAATTACTATTAGTGGTACACTTACAAACCGCAAAAGGGCGACAAATTATTTAGTTTTAAAAGGAGTTATAAGACATGAAATGTGAAAGCACCGAATTAATTTATACATCTAATACATACTTTAGTTTTTTTATGATGCTGTTAACGGAAATCAATGCTTATTTCTTTGGAAATTAATTATGCACACGGTACATCTAATTTTTATTTTTATCGATTTCTATCATTATTTTTTGTTATTCTTTGTTTTGATATCCAAACAAATATTTATCTTTTTATCTCACCTTTTTTCAAAAAGAAAAATTAATTGGTAGTTTTAAATAGAAAAATTATGGCTTGCATACAATAAATGTCGCAAGATTTCTATGATCAAATTACTATATAATTCATCAGATGAGGTAATGGGACGAACAAACAAGAGCACGTGACTAAATTATATATTGAGTGTAAAATAATAGGTACACCGTTCCAGGATGCTTTACGAGTACGACCGTTAAGACAAGCAATCTCGTAAGATTTTCGAGGGCAATAACAGAATTAATCCTGAATCTAATCTGTCTTACAATCCAATTTTGAATAGGGGTTTGGACGTGTATAAAAATGGCTAATACAGACACATAATGCATCAAAGCTAACTGAATGACCAAAAGAAAAATAATATCGGGGAAAAGAAGCGTGAAGAAGAGGCATGCCGATTTGCTTTAAAAAAATAAGCCAATGAAAAGTACGCCAAGCTTAAACGTATGCATGCAGAATGAAGAAGAAATTGAAAAAATGTTATATAAATCATGCGCCTATTGACATTTATACCGTTTGCTCTTTTACAGAAAATTCATCGCAAGTGAATTAATGACTCCAAAATGATACTTATTCTTATAAATGTATTCATTACTTTTATTATTTAAATAAATAATAATTTATCTCTGTTATATGCAATAGAGTAAAATTCTAATTATTGATTCAGACATGAATCTTTGTATTAATAATATCTGCACATCATGATCGTTTTCGGAAAATACTAGAATTAATGTACTTTCTTATTATATAAATTTAAGTATTTTTAAAAAGTTATATTCGCGCGCGCGCGCGCGCGCGCGCGCGATTTTAATATTTCAATTTTTGCGCTATTTATATATATATATATATATATATATAAAAGAGAGAGAGAGAGAGTTTCCTTTTCATTTTATTACAATTTTACACTACTTGAATAGTAAGTCAAAAGGTAATTATTAAGAGAAAGGATGAATTTTCAGTAAGACCAGAGCAAGACATATGGGATGTATTTTCTTACCTTGTACTGTGACTCATGAGGATTACGTTTCTGTAACAGCATATAATGGATCCTGATTGTTGGGAAGCGAGTGATGAAATGATCGATTTCAAAGACAATACAACAAGCAACTTAAGCTAATTGAATCATTTATTCTCTTAATCCTTTTTTTTTAAACAGTTCAAATTCTTTAACTGCCGAAAATATGTTACGTTATTTTAATAAATAATTTTGTAAATATCATCACATATATTTTTGCACAATTCTTATTAACAATAAGAAAGTAGTATTTAAATAGTATTTAAGTACAATATTCTTATATAATAAAAAGCTAAAAAATTTATTAGTTTGTAAACGAAGTCCATCAATTCAAATAAATTTGATGAATTTGAATGTTCAAATATTAAAATACGAAAATAATACTAAAAAATATTATTTACTTAAATTTATGTTTAAACTGTGTGGAGAACTGCTCGGGCTGTTCATATAATCATATAAAATATTATAAAAAATAGCAAATATAAAATTACAAAATTTATTTTAGATACGCACCAGAGTGCTTTTGAAATTGCTTTTAAAATAACAAAATTGAATAAGAGAAGTTAAAATTTGGCTTATATTAATTAATGAATTTCATGATGCATCTAAATATTAATATATCATTAGTTTAGAAAAAAGTATATAAAGTAGTAAGTAGCTTTATATGCCAGTTACATTGTCATTATTTATATTGTTGCTATCAAATATATTCATTTAATTATTCTTTAAACCTGTTGCATATTCCAGGCATCCTGTAAAACAATATCAGTGCTAGCTTTTAATTTTTATGTAAAGCGTGACGATGTGCTCGAGTTGCCTCTAAATGCGAAAGAAAACTGTAATATGCTTTGACGTAAGTCGACATAATTATGTTCGTATTTATGCAGTAAAACAAAATTTATCTCATATGATTCGAAAATGTCATCGCATGTATTTAGCTGCAAAGCTGCAAAGTAAAGGCTGGTGAGACGCAAAACAAATTGTAAAAATTGTTTAAACGCAAAATCCATATTTAAACTTAAAAATTTCCAAAACAAAAAACAATTGCAAATAATATAATAGAGTAAATTCATAAAAAATTCCTATATTTTCGTAATCGTCGCGCGTTTAATCAGGTATGTTTCGCAACGAAAGGGGGATTTATTGAAACCATGTACGTTTTGCGAAGACGGACGTATAAAGTTCTCTAGGAAACGTTCTATGTTAATTTACCATTATATATATATATATATATAGATAAGTAAGTCAAGCATATCCTACCTAAGTGAGACTACGCGCTGCTTCTATTCTGGTGCCAAATAAGGTAAAAAACAACAGTTCGATATTGTTGCAAAAGTAAAGTAGATGTATAGAGAGAGACACAAATTGTCTTGGACGGACGAAGAGTTTGCTAGAGAAACTAAAGACTAAAAGATAAATTAAATGAACTCCGAATTAAAAGTGCATACCATAGAAACGCGTTGTATATAGAATACAGACTGAGAAAACATACCGAAGAAGTCTTGTTATGTAATCTGGCCAATTATCCGGGAACATTACGAGGAAGAAACCCACCGCTATGAAGATCATGCCTGCTAATTTCATGCCCATGAAGTACGCCCCATAAAAAATAACGTCCAATGCTGCACAATTATATTAAAGATTAGTAAGCAACAGATTTTATAAATAACAATAAAGTAAAAAGATAACTTTTTTTGATATCTGTCTTTTCATTGCAAGTATTTATCTGTAACGCATTGAAAAGGACCCAAACCAAGGATCGAAACGTTTGTATATTGCGTATTTTAAGTAAATATACCGATGGAGGGAGCCCGCCCCGATGACTTTGACCTTGATATATGTTATGACTCTGAGTGACCTCCAACAGGTTTTAGCCGACGCTCATTATTCGTTAAAAAGTCATTAATAAAACAAGTTTCAAAAATAACGTCTTATTTTTGCCACATACAATATTTAAAAACAATCCTATACTTTCCCCTGTGTACGTATATAATAGTTTTCCATGCGAAGTGGGTTTCATCTCCCCCCTTCGCCCCTCCCTGTCAAAGGGCATAACGATTTTTCCTGCAGATGGATCTTGTTTTGCGTAAAAAGTCGAACGCTCCTAGACAGGGGGGATGGTGGGATATGGAACTAGCTTCATGTGGAAAGTCGTGCGCCCCTAAGCAAAGGGGAAGATGAGGGGTGGAATTCGCTTCGCGTGGACAGTCGTAAAATATATATTTTAAAACAGAAAATTTTTGTTTAAATCTAGTAGAAAGAGATATCATTTTTCAACCTTTTTTTGTTAATAACTTTCTTGATATATGCCATGGTCATGGTCATCGGGACGGACCCCCTCCATCGATATATTTATCACAATTTATTTTCTTTCGATTTATTCTTGGAGCTATAATTTTCGTGAAGAGATAATTCTTTATTTGTAATTTCATTAATATTATATTCAAAGTTTATATTTTCAAGTAAAAGACATTTCTTTTATTCTATATCCTTTCTATAAACGTAGATCTTTACTTTTAATGTGTAATTACTGATATATTATTAAAAACAGCCATTTGTTAATTTACGATTATTTTAAAATAATAGTTGTGTGTATGTGTGTGTGTGTGTGTATTTTACTTACCAGCAGATACAGGTACAGCTGTTATTAATCCAAGAGTAATGAACAGGTCGTAAGTAAGCGCGATGCTGAAATTGCCGAGCATATTTGCAACTGTGAACAATTAAATCATTCAAAGTACATTTCGTTATGGATGTATGTTATATCGAATAGTAATCTAGTTCAGCGTAAGTTCAGACCTAAATGGAGGATGCTGGCAGAGAATAAAGCTGCCCAAGGTAATCTTGCCCAGTGTATGGTTTCCACTCCAGAAAAATATAGAGCCAGGCAAATTGGCCATAACAAGGCGGCGTTACATAAACCGATAAGAGAGAAAAATAAAGACATTTGGCCGAACGTAGTTTCTCCTATTACTTTCTTAAAGAGGACCTGAATGGACAAAATATTCTCTTAAAAATTTAACATCTCGTATACAACTATATCGTTAGAACTGCCATATAATTCACAAGATATTACGCTTACTTTATAAACGGCAGAGCCAGCTGCCGCTGCTGTAGCTAAAACGACACCTCCTAGCGTTGGACTTCCAGTTATTCCGTCCATATAAGCTAAAAGAGCAATGCCGGTGTTGCAGAGGATCACCGCGACTATCTGTAAATAATTAAAAAAACTTTCTATAATATTATAAAAGTACACAAAGTTCATGCAGAATACATTTCAGCTATATGTATATTTGTATATGTAAAGATACGTAAGAGTACCAATATATTATACACAAAAATACCATTAAAAAATTTTTAACATTATTTATACGTTAGATTTATAAAAAGTCAATACATTCAATATTCTTCATAAAAGTAACTTTCGTATTTAATAAATTAATATATTAACGTAAGTAAAATAAAATTTTAACAACAAAATTGAAACTACATATTTTTAGAATAAAAATTGAACGACTTTTTTCTTACATCTACTCACCCTCACACCCACGAATTGTTCATGAAGAATAACCCACGAGAGTAAGTAGACGCATGATACATTGGTTGCAAACAGTGCCATCACGTCCGTGGCTAGCAGTATTCTCAACGAGAGTATATACAAATAATTCGTGATGACCCATAAGCTGCAGAAAAGACTGCATCTAATTAAGAAGCGGCCACCAGTAAAACCCTTATCACGGAAACCGCGGAGGCTCTCGGCTATTATTTCCGAAGGGGTGGCGCACTTGGTTCTCGCAGCCCAACAAATAAAGTATACCGGAAAGTATAAGATTTCCCAATTGGTACAAAACCACGTCGTAAAGAAGGGCGCATCGTATGCAAGAATGATCTGAAGATAATAATTGCCTTAACATCATCTCGTTAGAGATAGAGGAAGAAAGGAAGAGAGAAAGAGAGAGAGAGAGAGAGAGAGAGAGAGAGATGAAAAAGATAAAAGAAGATTGAAATAAACTTACATGTTGATGATGAAGTCCGCTCACAGAGGAATTTACGGATTCGGACGTCTCCGAGATCTTATCTGATTTACGAAAGTACAAATACTTAATACAATGAGTCGCGCCGACCCAACTCGCGGTTACACATATCGTCACGCACACGCCGAAATAGATCTGCAATTATAAGAGAATATACTATTATATATAAACTAGTGCGCACTTATAGTAGTTCGACTGAATTCGCAATAAGTCTCAGTAAACATATTCATTATACATTATAAACGTAATACTTTGAGTATTAAGTTGAGATTTTCATTTAATCATTAGAATTTCATCTAATCTCTATTTTGTTTCATCTATTATCCACGATTTCAACTTCATATTAAAGATGCAATCGACCTTCTTCGCGCTTTCTGCACAACAGGAGGCGACGCAGGCCGAAATCGAGCTCGGTCGTTGTGGTTGCTGAACTACCGGAGCAGAGGTCACATGAGTTGATTGAGTTTGACCTGTCGTTTGCACACTGCCAGTCCCACTATCGCCACCGCTGCCGGCACTTCCGGTAGCCTCTAGGGTGCGACAACTTGGTGCAGAATTGCCGCATCCGTCGACGACGCTGCAACCCTGCTGTTGCTCGCATCCTGAAATATTGACGTTCTTTCCGAATCTTCGTTTCAAGATGTCTCATAATACCTTTATTTGAATTTATTCGTGCGTAAAGAGAATTTTAGACAGCGTATACTTTAACTAACTATATATACATAGATACCTAACTATATGGATAGTTGAGGATTATAAATTTTAGACAATGAAAAAAAGTTAGCATTAAATTAATTTTTTTATTAAATTAATTAAATTAATATTTTTAATTAAATTTATCTGGCTCTTCTGCACTCTCTGAGAGAAAAATGTTTGGTATTTGTAACTATAATTACATATCACTATAATTATATAGTTCTAGCAACAAATGTATATAGTTGGCAACCTAAAATGACTATATATATATATATATATATATATATATATATATATATATATATATATATATATATAGTCATTTTAGGTTGCCAACTATATACATTTGTTGCTAGAACTATATACATAGTTACTGTTATTATTATCATAGCAGTAATAATCATAATTACAGTGATATGTAATTATAGTTACAAATACCAAACATTTTTCCTTCAGTGTGTCTGAATAAAAAGCTATGTAAAGTGTGTGCGCACGCGTAATTTTAATTTGTGTAGAAAGTAATTTTTAAAGACATTTTTTATGTGCGATTTTCTTTAATTTAATATAAGCGTGTCCTAGTTTTGAAATTTTGCAGTTTTATTTGAATAATACTAGGCGAAATATGCTCAGCGAAATGTTATGCGTATATCATGCGAGCATTTTAATAATAATAATGCGAAAATACTAATACTAAAACTTATTACTAAAGAGCTGGTACATCAGGCGCTTTCTTAAAATTCTAAATTTCTCTTCTCTTGAATATAAATACTATAGATGCTATGCTATTTTGTGGTGTGTATGCGTGTGTGTACGTGTATTTGTATATCCATTGTTGCTAGATTTTGCATTCTCCAACCAATGCAATTGTCGATGATAATTATACAGGATATCATCTTAAATCCATTGTATCTTCTTTCAACCACAGGTTCAATGTCAAATAAACCAGTAATTTGCTTCGGAAAAATTTGGTAAAATTTAAAATTATTCATCTATTTCTCGCATCGACAGAGTGCAATATATAATTTTGCAATTAAGTGAAAACTGTTTTGTGACGGCATCCAAAAAAAAAGCGACAAAATTTTGTTTTATCATTTAAGTCTTTTGTTTTATCGTTAAAATCTTAACATAAAATTTTATTAAGATAAAGATGAGATTAAAAACTACTGACTCTTCATTAATTCTTTAATCTTCAATGTTTCAAAATTTCGAATAATTATTCGCGATAGTAGTTATCAATAAGCTATCACTTTCCTTAGCTTCACCCCTCAGTATCTGCGATTGAAAAGATACTTGAGGGAGGGATAGAGGTCGATCCAAGGCAATCTATACATCGACGCGTAGATTTACCTGAAGCGTGGAGCGCAATCTGGATGGGAGTGATGAACGGACCGTGGGTCTGCTGATCTTCGACGAAGGTTATATTCGACGTACGCGATCGTCGTGGGTGAAATATCGTTGGTACTTCACCAACTCCTCCGCTACCCATGGCTTAAGCGCGTTCTTTGAAACATGTGATTAGAAAGAGATATTTACGTTTAACGTGAGCCGCGCAATACGTTACACTGGGCTATACAAACTTGAAACCGATTCATGCGAAGCACCTGGTGCACATCGCGACTTCCCTACGAATGCATGTACTTGTTGATCTCCCGACATGCTTGAAGGTGTGCATCAACGGTAAACGCTCTAAACGTTCACAAGAGTCGCTTCGCACATGCAACAACGCCCATAAATATCCGGGACTTGTTTCCGTTCGCTGGTTCGATACTCATTACAATAATCTAACAGTTGCAAGTTTAGCGACAATAAAGATCTCTGCTCGTTGAACAATACGTTATCACTGTAATATATTCAAAGTCGAAACGAGGGTTTATACGAAGCCGCGAGGGGGTATATAATTTAGATAAGAAAAAATATCCAACGTTATAAGCACCGCCTCTCGTTTTGTGTATCGATTTGGCACGAACAAACACGGAGACCACTTCCGCAAGCTTCGATATCTGATCTCGACAAAGCAAAGTTGTTAGTTGAGACGAAATCAATTCCGACATGTATGAAGCTACATGTATACGACAGTTATACACTTGTACATATAATAAGTGTTTGTACAGTTAAGCCGGTTTTGAGCCCTGAAATGAAGCGAATGAATTGCGTTTTAGCTAGCGGCATTAGGTGTTAGAAATTAATGGCAAGTTCTCGACAGGATAAGCACGAATTTTACATTGCGCTGTACCGTTATTAAGTATGAGAGCATTATTAGCACAATTATTAAGAGAGCGATTATTAGCAAAATTACAAAAGGCAGATTTCGGATAAAGGCATGCACTCGGCGAATAAATCCATCTAATCCGGGAATCGTCGCACATATCATCAAATATTTCGATAGAAAGGAACTCAAAATCCCGCCCTTCCATTCAATCTGAAAATTTCAACAATTTTTTCCGCGTGCGCGCGTGTTAAATTAATTATTAAAAATCATCCTTTTGAAAATAGTTCAACATCATCATCTTTGAAATATAAATCTCGACGAGATATACATAATAGACATACGTACACTCTAAATTTCTTACAGTGAAATCTCACTTCAAGAGAGTGAAAATGCAACCACCCTTGAAAAAAAGTGAAAATATTTCATTTCTTGAAAAAAAAAAAGTGACGATCTTCACTCTTTTTAGAGTGAAATCTTACTTTTTTGGAATGAGATTTCACTTTTTTGAAATGAAAATTCACTCTAAAAAGAGTGAAGATCGTCACTTTTTTTTTTTCAAGAAATGAAATATTTTCACTTTTTTTCAAGGGTGGTTGCATTTTCACTTTCTTGGAGTGAGATTTCACTGTAGGAAATTTAAGAGTGTACTAATTTTTTAGCAAGACTTTCAAAACTGAAGGCTTTTATTACGAGGTACAAAAGTGTTGTACGAGGTAAAAAAAAGGTATAAAAGTGAGCGAATTTATTGAATATATTAATAACTTCAATGGTCAACAAGTAAATTTGTTCACTTTTGTAATTTTTACTTCATTTCAAGAACCGTAATGTAAGCATCATCCTGAATCATTTTAGACACTACTGCTTCGCCGACGTTGTAAACTAAGTAATCACTTCGTCATTAAAAAACGTAATAATTAATAACAACGATAAGACAACTCCGTATTGTCGCAAAAAGCCGCATCCCCATTCCCGGATTTCATCGGATTGAAAAATAAAAGAGACGTGTCGAAGTCGAGTTCGAGGTAGAATAACATCGCACATACCTTCCTTATGTTTCTCTTCTGAAGTCGCGTCGTTCTCGAGCCTCGTATCCATGGTTCATGGTCCACCCGGTGATCCTAACCGCTTAGTTCGTCGATTTATCACGGATGACTGATGTCACAACGGCATGTCGCGCTATATGGATCGTAGACTCGTGTTGATCGAGTAGAAACGAGATACTTCCTGGTTTCGCTCGCTCGACGCTACGTTACTTGATAACTCGCTCGCGACGTAATTAATTAATTAACTCAAAGTAGCGCGATTCATCGCTATTAGAAGGGTACAGCTTATTACGAGGCGTTTATTGCGCGAGCCACGCGTGCAATCTTATTTTCGAGGATTCGCATGTCATGCACGCGAGAATGTGCTGTATCGGTGCGCGGTGTTCTTCGCACACCCTTAAGAGAGAGGGTGAGAAACTGTAATCTCTGCGCGCACTGCACGGACTATGGTCAAAGAGAACTTGGTCTCGAGCATTCTGCCATGCCATTGATTGCCAGGCCAGTCTCATAAGAGCCTCTGTTAGTTTACTAGGCAGTTCGCGTCTGCGCCTGCACCATCCGCAACCACTTCGCCCGTCTGCGCCGTTCTAATCTACTCCACGTAGTGGCTGCATGCCGGGTGTTCTAGAACTACCGACCAAACAGACCCTCCCATCTCAGTCGGACATAAAAGATACGCAAGACACAAGTAGAGTGACCAGATGCAATGCACGAAGTAGGACATTTATCATGAAAAAATGGTACAAACGTAGTTAAAAAAAAACAAAGAAAAAGGGAAACGAAGAATAAAATAGAAGCGGACATTGTTGATCTGAGACCTGTATTATTTTGTATTTCTTTTAAACTTCTTTTAAATTCATTTAGACAGTACGCACAAAACAATTTTACGTGAAAAATGTCTAAACTTAAAATGAGATAGATTATATTGGACGTTGAAAAAAGAAAAAGCGAAGATGCTGAGGGAGAACAAAAAGTATAAGCAACGCGAATAAACCTAATGACTAATCAGCATCTTATGTAAATCAATATGGTGATTTTATGCTGGGTATTCATTGGTTTAGCGGTCTTAATGCCTTATTTCCATGCTTACCCTGTACTATTATGTGTTAGTATATTTCACGTGTGATAGTGTCACACTGACTTAATAACTTCCGATCCTCTCGCTCGCTCCCAAGTCCCAAAAGTAGTACAAAAAAACACATTGAAAATCCGCCCGGACGCCCCCGGACGCTCGAAAAAAAAGAGTACATGTCCAGAAAAAAAAAAAGAGTACGGATGGTCACTCTAGGCACAAGAAACATTAAACCGCGTGTTGATCATTCTGGATAATTTTTCGTACAATTTTTGAACCATCAAATAGATTGTTCTATCCCTTACCTTTTATGCCCGTTTTTATCGATATAGATTAACTTTAATTTTGGTTCAATTTACTCTTCATTTTTTTCTAATTTTTAGAATTAGAAAAAATCGAATAGAGATTAAAGTTAATCTATATTTATAGATGGAAATAAGCATTAGTGATTGTTTATATTGAAAGTATAAACAGGTTTAATGTTTCGCGAAATGAAATTGCATATAAATTTTCTAACTATTCGTCTTCCGTCATTTCTTAAAATTAAAGCAATATAAAAAACATAATTACGTATAATATGAAAATTTCTAATTTTACTTGCAAAAGATCTAAATAAAAACTATTTCTATATGTTCCCTATTATTATTAAAATGGTTATTATTAAATAGTACACGTAATATTATCATTATCAAATAAAACATTATAATTTTATTTTTTTTATTTTTTTTGCATAATCATATATCATTCGTATTATATTTACAATAATTTAAAGTTGATGCAGCGTATGCACAATATAATTACATAATCGGTTGTAATTGACATGAAACTACTTTCACTGTTTGCTCGCACTATATTTTAAGTACCCACACTTTTAATTCTTTAGTTTCCACATTTCTATTTTGCGTGACTGAACAGAAAGAACTTTTTCTTATACATATTCATAAAGCGCAATGTCGTTCACTCAATGTCAAATAATATCGTACGATTTATAACAAGATAAAAGACAACATCAGAGCTGAATTGCCAGGAACTTGAGATGTTTTCGGTACAAAAAGAAATAGTCGACAAGTAGCTGGAAAAATATTTTATTTTGTATTTTCTGAAATAAAAGATTTTCAATTAAGTCTAAGTGACGTAGGAAACGCCTCACTGATATTTCGTTCTTGATATCAACGTCACTACATCTAAGTAGGAAGTATACGATAATCTTTTTGTTCTTTTTGTAGAAAAGATTTGTATAAGTACAAATATACTTAGATATATAAATAGGTACATTCATACGCACAAGCGTTCGCGCGGTAAATTACAGATGGTTAAACATTCTGGTAATAAATATAAAATACAAAATTTTACTACAATATACAAAAATATAACGCATAAAATTTCTTTTAACCTATAATCTTTTAAAATATAGAAATTGTTCACAAAATAAACTTGTAAATGTTGTTTTGAATAAAAAAAATGACATAAAGTTAATGTAAAAATCTCGATTTTAACTTTTCATAACATTGATCTAGAATTATCATTAATAATGAAATATAAAAGATAAAAAACGTAAATTAAAATAAATTACAGGTATGATACTAATAAGTTATAATAAGTTACAATATCCAATTATATAATATCCAATTGTATAATGTTATAAACAATTATCAACAAATTACTTCCATCTGTATTTACCTATGACAAAATTAATTTAATAAATTAAATAATTATTAACAATTAGAATCGCGATTTAATCGCAATTGCATCATAGAATAACACAGAAGTTGAAATAAAATATAATTGCGATATATACATATATGTATACATATACACACACATACATATATATATATATATATATATATAAAACAATTAATATTCTTCTTAAATTTCATATTAAGTTAAAAAATTTAAGCGACAGACAACGGTTGCAAAATAAGTTATCTTAAAATATGCTGTTGAAATAAATACATCTATATATCATTATTTGTTAAATTTATTTGTATAAATTATTTGTTAAGATCATTTGTAACATATATGAAATATTTTTGATATGTGCTATAATTAAATATTTAAGAAAAACTTTTGCATACATAGAATTATTTCATGTATAAATGTAATAAAAATTATTTAATCCATTTTTTAAATATTATTACGCATAACTCTGTCTGTGTTATTCTAAGATAATTGAAACGCGCATAAGGGAAACTATAAAAATCCCTTCAAATATCACACAACATTTATGGACTGGTTAAGGCTTATAATTCCATTTCAGTCTTTCGTTATAGTTCTAGCTATAAAGATATTATACAACTCTTAGAGTTGATGTCACAGATTTACACATATACGATGTGTAAATATAATGGGATGCTAAAAATGTTCGTTTTAGCCGGCGTGTTTATAGCATTAACGCGTTTACTATTTAAAAAAAACATTTACATATTTTTAATTAAATATAAATAAAGGCACGCATATGTGGTTATTAACCCTTAGTAAACACCTTAGTTTTTGGCACCTTTACTACACATGTTCGGTCATTCATGTCCTGGATTAATTTTCATCACTTTTACAAGTATATATAAATTATTAAATGATTTTTACGTATATTTTGACATCTTTAGAAAGTATTTATACAGTGATATATTTATAACAAATTGTACATAAATTGTTATAACTAAATATAATTAATAAAATGAGAAAAATGCTTCATATAAAAATGTTTCATATAAAAATATGAAACTCTGAAACAAAAATGTTTAAAGGAAAAATATAGTTCAATATCTTAAAATTAATATTCCAAACTACAAAAAGAATAGTTCAAGTGTCAGCTGTCCAAAAAGTTTAGTTACCGAGTAATCTGAAAATGATATTTTTTTTAATATGCAGAATGGCTATTGAATGGCTTATGAAATTGAAGATATATTGCATTTACACTTTGAACAATGTATTTTATTATTGCTATTGTGTAAAAAAAATTTATAATTTATTTGGATATTCTTTATAATAATGTCCTTTATAACATTACAGACAACATAATATATAATATTACTGACAACGTTTAGCACAAGGGTGCCAAAAATCGTGTTTATTAAGGGTTAATATGTTGTTCTAGGGTTAAATTCTTTTTTTAATAATTCGCGAAATATTTCCGCAATACAACCGAGAATTAGTTGAAAATAACGAAAAAAAGAAAAATTGTTTAGTTACAAAAAATGTACACTCTGTACACACGTTGAGTCATTTGTGACCCAGAAGTGAATTTCGGAGTTACGGCAGTTAAAGGATACGCACGAATTGAGGCCGGCAACACACAAAACTTGTTCTCTAGATGCCAAACTTTTTTTAGGAATAGAAAAGAGACCAGTATTTGACCAGGTACTCTTAGTACTTCAAAGAAAAGAAATGCGCAGGATACGAATGACTCAAAGGTGTATATTAAGGATTAATATTATCACTTTTATATGTATATGTATATATTGTGTATGAGTCATTTTAAGTGATACATGGAAATATCTCGAAAAGTATAAAAACTACGGAAAAATTTTTAAACAAAAGTTGCTGAGTTACTAAGGGGAAAGAAAGTGATGACTTTACTTGGCCTAGAAAAAATATCTTAAAGTCAGGTCAAAGTTACTTAAAATTTTTTTAATGGAAACCCCAATTTTTTATTTTATATAGTCAAGACCTTTTCAAAACACTATAATAAAATACTTTTTCATAATAAAATATTTTTTTGAAAGTATCAGGCTGCTCTTCGCTCTGATGAAGTGGACTGCAAGGTTTACGAAACGTTGGTATTCCAAGAATGGATCTGGACACGGAGAAAACCCGCGAAACGCATAATCTTTATATAAAATATTTTTTCATTTTTTCACTTTACAAATTATGGGGCTTGAAAGTTAACAAGTCAACGCTGAATTTGATTCCTATTTAAACGTAGAATTTTCTGCTCTTTGTATTTTTGGAATAAAAAATAGAAGTTTCTATTTAAAATGACACCAATTATAACAATTGCTTAGCGGGTGATCAATATTAACGTAGTCAAACAGGGTGCTTCCAGTGTTGATCTATTAACTTTTAAGCCCCATAACTTGTAAAGTATTCAATGAAAAACTATTTTATTATAATGTTTTGAAAAGGTCTTGACGTCAGCTATATGAATATGAAATAAAAAATTAAGGTTTCCATTTAAAAAATTTTAAGTAACCTTGACTTTAAGGACGTCTTCTCTAGGACAATCAAAGTAATTCATTTACTTTCTTTCCTCCTAGGAACTGAGCAACTTTTGTTTAAAACATTTTCCGTATCTTTTATATTTTGCGAGATATTTCAATGTATCACACTCTTAAAATGACTCACCCTGTGTGTGTGTGTGTATGTGTGTGTATGTGTGTGTACATATATACACAATATATATATATATATATAATCTAAAAATTTAATATTAAAACTTCCTATCCTATTTATAGAAACATTTTTAGAGAAAAAAATTTTTATAAATGTCGTATTATTTTTTATTGACGTAAAAGCAGCATACACCTTCATAGATACTATGAGGTATTTAGCTTGGTATATGAACATCGTTTCCGAAATAGACTGAGTTTTATGCACAATAACCCAAAAAGGTTCACGCATATTGGGCTATACATATATTATAGTGATGTATACTATGTTCTAATTATTAATGTGGAAATATAATTCAAAGCAATACTATATATTATTCTGCGGCTATTAATTAAATATAGTTATGTAAAATACATTGAGTATAATATATAATTGTATCTCCTTCCGAATAGAACTGTATCTTCCGGAGAAGATACAATAAAAATATATATATATATATAACAATAATATTTACAGTAATTTGCCGCCAAACGTATAAAATTAGTGTATACAATTTTTAAACAATTTTGAAGAATAATACACTACATTTATATAAATGTAGTATACTTTAGCATAAAATAGACATAAAAAATGATTATTTTATCCGTTAATTTACTACCGCAATAAATTTCTCAATTGCCATAGAACACATGTACACAATAAAGTGTATTATCGATTTGTAAAATTCCATAGATCAGATCTTAACACTTACAGATTGCTTTCATTAAAAATACGTCGCGTAGCAAATAAATTTTAACAAGTTGCATTCTTTGTTTGTTAATACGATATTTTGTACAAGATATTTGGTGCCACACGCAATCGAATTTACAGCTATACTACATATTCTTTTTAATCAGTATTAAGCATTATATACAATTAAAATATATCTATACGTTACTATTTTCATGTAAAATATGCTTAGGTTTTTTAAAAGGTAGCTTTGGGATTATTAATGATTCTTGTTTATTAAGTGTGTGACCAAAGTAAATTATGTACACATTCTTCAACACAACAAATGATTTAATATAATCACACGTAATCAACTTTTCCTAAGCAATGTATAATGATAAATAATCGAGTACATCTAAATTGTAAGATATCGAAATTTGGATTCTCAAGTATTATTATTACTTTAATTAAATGTACAATAACTAAATGTTATTGTACTTTATATTTGAAAAGAAAAAGGAGATGCTTCATAAACGAGATAACGTAGCCGTTAATCTGCGCATCTTCCTATGAGCCGACAACATAATGAGCGGTAACCTGAACCGCTTTTCTCTCTTCATACAAATATGCAATCGGATGAACGCGTATTTATTTTATTCCTAAACAAAAAACAGATCATCTTTATTTTCTACTGAACTCTACTGAGTTTAGAATTACGCGATAAAACGTAAACCATTTTTGGAAAAAATTCTACATTGTCACTCTTTTTAATCTTATCAAAATCTATATCTACTTCACGAAAACATGCTCTTCATTTCTTTAACAAAATTCAATAATGCAAATTATCTCGCGACATTTATATTATTCTCTGGTTATATTAATGAAAGGCACACAATATTGTTCTGTAGATAATTTCACGTAACTTAGTTGATAAATTATTTTTTGTGATAATATACCACAAAGGTAATAGTTTTTAATAAAATGATAACGTCCGTTATAAATAAAAAGTATTTTCTTTTAAAATGTGATACTGTTTTAGTAAGCACATTAAAAAATTCTATTTGTTAATTTAATTTATTAATTCAATTATAAAAGTTAATTATTATTCAGTTTACATCAGATTGCATTGTTCACATAAAATTATAATAAATTATAAAACGTAATGATTTGAAAATTTCATTATTTGTATATCTTTAAATCTACCATCATTCTATTATTATTATCAATGAAAATATAAACAATATTTTAAGATGTTTCTGTTCATATACTTAGTTTGATAGTATCACAAAATATAAATATCACACTACTTATAAATCTAGAGTAGAGATATAAAGCCATAATTTACACTACAAAATATATTCAGGATCTTTTAGAGACAAATGATTTTTGTGCTTTACCTTACGACCCTGTCTTTTGGTTGCTTTACGAGTAACCTTTGATTCCCTGGACTCTTGCACTTGCTTATTGAGTCCCAATCTAAGACGTACAGGTACCTTCGAATCAAGAGTACTTTCATCTGTAAAAAATAAGAATATAATAGTTTGTAAAATTTTATTTTATATTAATTTTTATTTTTCTTCATATATAGGGTGTTCTATTTGAAACTTCGGACGCACTCCCCCTTCCAAACTATTCGCTATACCAAAAAATTTTGTTTGGAGAGGGACATATTTGTTGGTCACAGATCCTCTCTAGGTGGACGTGCCTCTAAGATTTCAAAGTAAACTTTATTTTTTTATATAATGGAATTAAGTAGTTTTTTTATATAATATGATTCTTTTAATTATTCTGCATATGGAAGCATTAAGGTAGAAATGCCAAAACATTAACAGTAAATCAATTAAGAGATATTTGAAACTTTATTGTGACACACATACATATTGACATAAAATATTAGATTATCTCGTAAAATATTAATTTTTTAATAATCGTACCTTAATACTCTTATAAACAAAATAATGAGATGAATCAATTGGTGTAAAGAAAACAGTTACTTATTTAACAAATTATCAATTTTGTGCCTACATATTTTCGTAAACAAAATATAACATAAAATATCTCATAAACTACTGATTTTTTGGTATCTCAGGTATATCTACCTTAATATTTTTATATACAAAATAATTAGAGGAATTATATTATGTAAAAAAAACTATATTACGTAAAAAAACTTATATAATTCTATTTAAAAAGAAATAAAGGTCCACCTTAAAATCTTGGGAGGCACATCCACCTCGAGAGAATCTGTGATCATCAAAAAAGGTCCACTTTTAAATAAAGTATAGTAAATGATCATAATATTATTAGAGTCGTAGTTCGAAAAATGTGGTTTTCGAGATTATGTAGAAATAAAATCAATATATTAAGTTTTGTACATACAATAATTTTTAATGAACAAATATACACTAAAAGGGTCTTGTATAATTATGAATCATAAAATAAAAATAACAATAAAATTAATACTTGATAACTCCACCTTTTGTTACAATTATCGTGTCAATTAATTTGGGCATACTTTCTATACATTTTAAGTAGTTTATTTTTTATAACACACATTAATCAAATGCACGATTAATTGATGTTCATTGATGATACATTCTTTAGAAATTTTCCTTTTTGTCAATTCTCAAAGATTCTCAATGGGGTTGATTAAATGGCGTTAATGAGAGATAATGGCAATAAATGAGAGATAGTTATCTACAGTGGTGCCAAGGGTATATTTTAGATTTGTAAATATCAGTATTTCATAAAAAAAATAATAATAACACAGTATTGCTATATTTTAATCTAAAAATTAATTGCAACTTTAACGTAAAATAGTTAATTTATGCAGATGGTTCTAATAATTTGATCATCCGCTGTAAGGTCCACTTAAAATATTCTTTGACATAACGAATAGTTTAGGAAATAATTGTGTCCGAAGCTTTAAAAGGAACATCCCATATATGTATACGAGAGTTTACAATCAAACAAATGTTTATCAATGCAATTCACTATTTACAATCGGAGTAATTGCTTATCGGTCCTTGTCTAATTTTCTGAGTGTCCATTTTAATAATAATAAACATTATGTTTTTTGCATTAATAAACAGTTGTTTGAGCTTTATGTAATAATAACAGGTTTGCGTATATATATCAAATTTTTTTATATGTTTGACATGTGAAGAGCTTACTCCCGAAGTTTGTACTTTTATTTTAGTTACTTGTATGTGTATGAGAGAGAGAGAGAGAGAGAGAGAGAGAGTGTGCGCGTGCGCGCGTACGTGCGTGTGTGTGTGTTCTATATTATACATAGACATTTTTTTTACATGCACGCGCACACGCGCGCGCAGAAAACTAATAGAATAATAAAGAAAAGTAATAGAACTAATACATAATCATTTCAATAAAAAAATATTACAAATAATTAATAATATTGTAAGTCAAAATTTAGAAATAC